AATCCCCTTTTTTCTTTTTCTTTTTTCTTTTTTTTTCTTTTTCTTTTTAGTAGCGCGCAGCTGTGGTTATTTCTTTTATTTTTTCTCCAAAATCCATCAGGAGTCCAAAAAAGGAAAGAAGTGGACAACTTGCGGTTTGGCAACGCTTGGTGCGCAGTGCAAGTCCGCCAGGGTCGGGTGTAGTGGTGGTTTAAAACCCCTGCAAGCATAGCTACCTCTCACAATTAAGGGGATGCATGTTGCCCCCCGCCCTAATCAGCAGTGGTCAGGGAGTAGGGGGGGGGGGGGGGGGGGCGGCCGGCGGCTAACGCAAAGACACAGCATTTTGCCAGTAGTTGCACCTCCCATCTACTTCCCCCACCCCCAATCGAGTAGAAGTGGTGGCTATGGCCAACACTCTACCACACACCACACACAACCCACTCAGGCTCATAATCGAGCCAAATTTGATGCTAGCTGTTTCTTCTTCTTCTTCTTCTTCTTCTTCTTCTTCTTTCTGGGTCGGCTGTGATTTGGAACCTGACCTCAATTCTCTGCCACATGTTGCAATGTCTTCCAGCATGGTGGCAATGGTAATGTCAAAGGCAACAACAAAGGCGAGGGCGCTGGCGAAGACAGTTCTTTGCACACCAGTCATCGCTTCGGTGAGCACATGTCGGTGAAAGAGAACCAGCAGTGCAACTTCGGAGCCGTCATGGTGACTGGGGACAATTCTCCTCTCCAACAGCAATCCTCTCCGGCAGCAGCTGGTGTGGACCCGGACCATGATGGCTGCAAGAGCTGCAGCATATCGGCCACATTTTTCCAGAAAAGTGTTAGCCCTTCGCCACATGGAGGAGGGAGTTTGGACAGAAGTGCGCCGGCAACACCTGGTTCCCATGGTGGAAGAAGCGAAAAGTCACATGAGGGGTCTTTGCGTCATCCTGTGATGGCTAATCTGGTGTTGAAGACGGACATCAGGAGGAATGCAGATAGGTTCAATGCATCATCAGCGAAGCCCTCGCCTAGTGGAGGAAGTCCCTCCGCCATCGGTTTGGGCAGACTCCTTGAAGAGATGGAAACTTCTGGAAGGTCGTCGCCAAGCACAGATGCCCTCTCGCCCACTGGACTAACACAACGGACGTTGGGAAAGGATGTCTCTGGCGGCGGTGGTGGATTCACGCAGCGGACCTTGGGGAAGGATATCTCTGGCGGCGGCGCCGGACTAACGCAACGGACGTTGGGAAAGGATATCTCTGGTGGCGGCGGTGGACCAACGCAACGGATGTTGGGGAGGGATATCTCTGGTCGTGGCGGTGATTCCTCAGATGTGATCGCTTCTTCCGGTTCAATGCATCTTGCTAGAGATTCGCCCAATCCGAGAGGAGGACCTGAAGGGTTGTTCACATTTACAAAGAGCAGGATCGATGCACATTCTTCTCTCCCTACTAGAGCGGTTGGATCTAATCCCGCATCTCTTTCTGTTACTACCCCCCTTTATGCTCCCGCACCACGGATGGCAGAGGTCCTCGATGACGGTGCCTATGCCAACCCTCCAAATGGCAGTGAAAATCTTCCTGGCAAGTTTCATGATTCTTCTGCCACCAGCCAGAAGTCAGCAATGGGTTTAAAAGAGAGGGAGCCAACTGCGCGCCTGGGTAATGACCGTCAGCAGACCTCGACCAGGGTGGCAGTTGGCAATCCAAGCCCTTCTGCGGGGTCTGGGGATGGTCAATCAAGTGTGGAAGTCCCTCCCCCTCCTCTTGACGCCTATGGGAGAGGCAAGCTTGAGTGGAATGGTGGGCCGCCATCTTCATCGTCTGCGAGCGCTTCCACCACAAAACGGGGGGGACGACCTAGTTGGCTCCAGAAACTAGAAAAGCTGGCATATTCTCCATCGCCGACCCCAAGAGGGGGTCAAACTGACAGTGGAGGCATCACCCAAGGAGAGTCGGCGATACATACTGCGAAGCAACTGAATGAATTGGGTGCAGCAGGGACATCAAAGAAACCGACGTCGTTTTCAGGAGGTGTAGGAGGGACAAGAGGCGGCGGCGGTGGCGGCGGAGGAGTGGTGGCGATTCTGCGTGCGATGACTGGAACCTCTGACTCTAACCTGGAAAAGTGGAAAAGGTTTATTTTTCCGGTAGATGATGATGGAGGTGAAAACACAACAGCAATGGAAGGTTCGGATGTCAGAGAGCGGGGAGATGGCCCTGGAGGCCATGATACGGCACAAACCCAAGGCAATTCATCGCAAGACGTGCAGCAGAAGGGTCAACAGGGCAATCACACGGAAATGGGTGCAGGCAAAAGAGATGACCCCTATGTCCGCAGAACTAAGGACACAGGGGACGACTTCCGGGGGCATGTAGTCAAAGTAAGTGGAAGGAGTTTGAATGGAGATGAGGGGAATCCTGGGTGCGCCTTTCAGGCTGAAGCGGCTGGAAGAAACTTGAAAGAAGGCATGTGGAATAATTCGGATGCTGCGGCTATTGAAGAGAGTTCAAGCGAGGACAAGAGGCCAAAGGATGCTCCATATGTTGTGGAAATAGGAAGGACCTCGTCAGTTGAGAGCGGAGATGTAGCGGGAAGCGGGTATTCGCCAGACGGACAGCTGTCGTCATCGAACAAAAGCCCAGATTCAAGCGAGGACTCAAGGGTGTCAGGACCGATGGCCACAGCACCAACAGAAGGTGGAAGCAGCAGCTTGAGGTTCTTGAGGGCCAAGGATGAAAACATCAAGCAAAGGCTTGAAGAACACCTTACCTCGAGGGAGAAACAACACGGCGGCGGTCCACGCCTACATGGTAATCCGTCGACGGGAAAACTCTCGGGAAAATCAAGCCGCATAGCTTCGGAACTGGAGGCCGAAAGCCCCCGTGGGAGTTCACAAGGTGATCATCAAGGTCACAAAAGTCGGCTTGTCAAGCAAAAGGGCATTGGGGGAACGCACCGGTTGACAAACAATCAACTGGTGCGTGAGGAGGGCATCAGAAACTTACATTCGTACAAACATTATCAAGAAAAGGCAGTCGGTACCACCAACTCACATCCTGCTGCCCAAAGGGAAGTAGAAAGTGCTGGCACTGGTACTGGGGCTGGGGCTGGGGCTGGGGCTGGGGCTGGGGCTATGCACATGGAAATGAACAACGTAAACGTGTCGACAAAGAAACAAACAGGATCAGGAGTGAAACCCCAAAGCCGGATCGGGCACACCGGAACTGGTACTGGTACTGGTACTGGGGCTGGGGGACTGTCCAAGAAACCAGTGAAAGGAGGGAAGTCCGACTCAGCTGGAGGAGGAATATCAAGTCCCCAAGAAGGAAATGGGTTCCAATCAAACTTGCCAAGCGACGCCGGATCGGGCCTCTCCAATGCGAGGGCTCTCACACAAAACTCTTCAGGAAAGAAGGCCACTTCAGATATGTTCTGGCCAATGAGAAAGCCAGTGTGGTACCCTCCTGGAATTGGGAGTTGGAGCGACATTAACCAGATGCGATCAGAAAGACGGTCACAGTCGGCCTTTGCTCGACTAGAGAGAACTTGGGCAGCTGATCCCGATCACAGGGAGGAGAATCTGCAGAAAGCAGGCGCGCTTAAGCGACCTTTCGAGAGATTATACCTTCAGGTGAGAGAGACATAACATAATGCCACTTCAAGGGGAACCTCGTATCGCCCCTTTCAGTACAACCGGGTCCTTATCGCTGTATCTGGACCGAAAGCTGACCAAGTATGGCTATAATGACCGGGCATTCTATTCGCAGGAAGACGGTCAGATACATACAAGAAAGTCCTGGTGTGAGTATGCCGTCGATGATGTTCTTCCCTTCGCTTCCCTTCACTTGCGCCTGTGCAGAGTTGTGCAGCACTCGCCTCTTTTTTTTTTTTTTTTTGTTTAACTCAATTGTCTTCTCCTGATATACGAGGGACAGCTGTATTTTAACTACACTATTCATTTTGGGTCTCCCTCCACTACTCTAGACTCACGAAATTTCGTGAGTTCGGCCTCTCTCCACTTACTCTAGAACCGAACTCACGAAATTCGCATCTTGAGCTGTCAGAAAGAACTCGTGAAGGGAACTCGTGAAACGTCTAGAGTGCACAGCCTGCCTGCAGCTCCCCATTTTTCAAGGGTGGTCCGCGTTTCCCCTGAGGCGGCCTCTTTTTTCTCTACTAGACCTGGTGCTGATTGGAGCAAGTGTGCGAGAATTGCCGTGTCTGCGTCCGTGTGGTGTTGTGTGTGGTGTGTCGAGTTGGACACTACACTGCCCTGCAGCGGTGGGGTGGATGTCGCGGCCGGTATGGTTCCAACTTTTGGTTGAACACCTTGTCCTGGCTGTAGTGGTTCCGATGCTCGGCTCTTGAGGCCGAGGTCGCCGGTTCGAATCTGTGCTTGCACGGAGGAGGGCTTTTGGCCCAGAGGTACAAACCTATAAACTACTGGAGTAGGGGGCAACAAACGAACTGCTTAGCTGTGAGGTAGCGTAGTGCACTCCAACTTCTCGAGTCCCAATATCGTGTCCTGGCTGTAGTGGTTCCAATGCTCGGCTCTTGAGGCCGAGGTCACGGAGGAGGGCTTTTGGCCCAGAGGTACAAACCGATGAACTACTCGAGTCGAGTAGGGGCCGACAAACGAACCGTTTAGTTGTGAGGTAGTGATCTTCTTCTTTTTCTTTTTTTCTTCTTTTTTTTTCAACTTCTTGAGTCCCGCCTTATACACCAAGTGGAGTGATGGCAGGGATTTCATGAGTTGTTTTGCTCTGGCAGCTCTAGACGGACTGTTGAAATTTTTCGAGAGTGGAGCAAGACCCATTTTCTCCCCTCAATTCCACCTCACACTAGCTACCTCTCTGATCAGAACCTGACAGCAATCCAATGCACGGTACCAGACTAGATCTCTACGGGTTATGGGTTTAAATCCTGCTCTACTCTGTGTCAAATAGGGTGGGAAAAAAAAAAAAAAGAAGGAAATTTCATACTGGCCACATGCTCATGGATATTATGGTATGTATGACGTGGCAGCTCAATCTGTGACGATTGTTTTTTTTTGGTGCCGATTTTGATAACAGCAGTTCCTTGTTTCCATGTTCTGGATGTTCTTCCTCCTGCTGTCCTCCTCCTCTCTCTCTCTCTCTCTCTCTCTCTCTCTCTCTCTCTCTCTCTCTCTCTCTCTCTCTCTCTCTCTCTCTCTCTCTCTCTCCCCCGCACACACTCACACCCCCACACACATACACACACATACTCATATACCCACACACACACATTCACACATGCGCACGTACGCACACACGGATTCACTGAGGGTGGTCACCGCGGCGATGATGTCCAAGAGTCCTTACACAGTCAGCTCCCGCGCCACGTCGGCCTGTGACGTGGCTGGAACTAGCTCCCTCTACCCCTGCGTGTGCGTTAAGCGCGTCTATGGAGTGCCTACATCCCTCCTTTACCTCTCGTCACGGCGATTGAAGCGGAGCAATAACCTTACCAATGAAGCGAATTAATCTGTACCCCGCAGAGTCTAAACAAGGGATACGAGCAGAATGCCAATGTTAAACTGGTAATCTTGGCGAGACAGGGGATATCTGCGTTTGATTACTTCCTCAATGATCTATGATAAGACCCGAGACCCATCATACTTAGTCCCACGCAACAGCATTCCATTATTACGTTTCACTGAGGATGATCACAGCGGCGATGATGCCCATCTCGAATCTGATAATGAACACTTGGTCCTTACACGGTCAGTTATCGCGCCACGTCAGCCTGGAACTAGCTCCCTCTACCCGTGCGCGTGCGTTAAACGCGTCTAGGGAGCGCCTCCATTCCTCCCTTACCTCTTGTCTTAGCGATTGAAACGGAAAAATCACCTTACCACCACGTCGCCTCCATCTTAGCGAATTAATCCATACCCCGCAGAGTCAAGACAAGGGATACGAGTAGAATGCCTATGGTAAACTGGTGATCTTGGAGAAACAGTGGATATCTGATAACACCATTTAACGAGCGTTTGATTACTTCCCCAATGATCTATGATAAGACCTGAGACCAATCATACTTAGTCCCACACGTCAGCTTTCCATTATAGCGATTCACCTTCTGATAACCGATAGATGATGACAACTGAGAGAGCGTAGTAGATGGCTCTTTCAGAGCCCATCGAGCCACATACACCTTGGCCTCATGCAACCGGCTTACTCAGGAGAACCAAGAATAATGAAAGCAAAAAGAGTCTCATCATCATCACTGTTACCAACCAGCTCCCATCACGCCCCATGCACCCCGATCCCTTATACCAGCCTTACACAACACCGCGAGGAGCACGAGAGCGGCGAAGAAGGATCGACGAGTACTGAGAGAACTCTTTAATATTTAAATTTTACCTTCCTTGGTCCGGGTCTGTCGGACGTCGCGCTAACCTGTGGTACTGGCCGACTTCTGACTATAGATTATGAAGATCAATGGCAAAGAAAGAAACGTCTTGTAATGAATCTGGGATAAGTGGGACCTTGCACTGAGACTATCCTAGTCTGCTGCATTCGCTTCAGCGTGCAAAGACCTCTAGGACTCGGCGCATAGGCGAGGACTTTTTCGAAGGAGGAATAGTCTCACTGCGAGGGCCGGTCACACTGTGTCCTCATTTTGGAAAGCCCAAAAATTTGGGAAAATGGGAACTGGCAAGTCACACGACCCCAATTCCTCATGTGTGTTTTCTCAGCTTTTCTGTTTGTTTGTTTGTTTGTTTGTTTGTTTGTTTGTTTGTTTTTTTTTTTTTTTTTNAGAGAGAGAGAGAGAGAGAGAGAGAGAGAGAGAGAGAGAGAGAGAGAGAGAGAGAGAGAGAGATGCTAGTATCAGAGCCGGTCATGCTGGTGATGCTTCCAGCACCAATGTTGCACTCTCTGGTGCGTTGTGAATTACAGTGTTCACAACCAAATAGAGAGCCCAGTCATTATACCTGTATCTGGACTGGAAGTTGCCCCAAATACAGCAATAATGACCAGGCATTCTAGTTGGTTGAAGACAGTAGGTGGTTGCGTTTTTGGCCTCTCTCATTCAGGATACAGCTCACTGATGGTCCCTGAGTGAGTTGACATGCTCACACTAAGACTTTTTCTACCAAGCTCTGGACGTGATTGTGACCAGATTCATCCACGCCCATCCGTCAAGTGCAAAGGTGACTCCTGCTGCGTTACCATGCGTGGGAGTATGCCCTGAGGTGTGGATGAATCTGGCCACAATCTGAGATGAATTGAATTGAGCCGTGCCCTGCGGCAAACTAGTGTTTTTTTTTTTTTTTTTTTTTTCCCCCCTCTCCAAACAAAGACCTGTTGTGCAAGACCTCTATCCCGATGGTGGTAAGAGAATCACCGGAATTGAGGCTTCGCCAGTCGGGCTGCTCCATCTATTGGTGGGGAGCGTCACCTGCTGGAAACCGGGTCCAGCGTCCCTTAGATACATCATCTCAGCACAACCTTTGTTGGGACTGTGGCCTTATCATTTCCTAGCCTGGAGCACTGACTTTCCCTCAGGGCTGCATCAATAACCCTTCCTACTTCTAGAGCTCCTTCTTCCTACTGACCCAGTCCCTCCCTGGAATTTGCGAACTGAATCCTCCTTTCCTATTCCCCTTCAGTTTGTCAGTCCAAGTTCAATCCCAGGTGTCTGCAACCCTCCCGTTTCCTTTTCTCTCCCTTTTCACTCGCTCGTACGTGTAGGCCTGTCATACAGCTGTATGTATCCAATCCGTTTCCTTTCTCTCCCTTGTCCGTGTAGGGCCTGTCATTCCGCCGCATGTCTTGTGTGTTTGGGAGGGGCTTCCACTACCCATCCACCAGGCTTGTTTCAAACTGTCATCATGTTGGTGTAAGTTGGAAGTGTGCCCGGGAACACACGATGTAGGTGTTCATGTCCCTTGGTGCAATTGTTCGTTATGGTGACTGCTTACTACGGCTCATTGGCCAATCAGTCTTTGTCCGTGCCGGCGTCGGTTGGCCCCCTGCTGGGCTCCCATGTCACTTTGCATTCCTCTGTCGGCTCTTCCGATTGAGGTTTCGGTGGGATCTTCTCCCACCCTTGTAGCATATGGTGTTGCTGCAGGACAGTGTCCTCTCCTGGCCAGGTCTTGATTGTAGCAGCTGAATCGCCTGAGAATCGGGGGTGGGAACAGGGCAATGGGGAGGGGGTGAGGGGGGAGGGCATTCTTCCGGAAGGGGAGGATCGGGTGTGGGACGGGGGCATGAGGGGGGGAGGAGGAGGGGAGGACAGTGTTAGGGGAGGGTGTTCTTCCGGAAGGGGGGAATCCATTGGGGGGGGAGGGAGCTGGGGCGGGGTATCTTCCGGGAGTGGTGGATGTGTTGGGCTTTGGGGGCGGGGCAGGTCTGCGGGGGTAGGGGGGTCGCTGGCGGGGTACCTTCTGGCAGCGGGGGAGGTGTTTGAGGGGTCGGTTGGCAGGAGGGTGGAGTCAATGGGGGTAGGGGGTAAGTGCTGGGGATTCGTTTGGGAATGGTGGATGTGGGGGTGGTTGGGGACTTAGGGGCATGACCGGAGGTGGTATGTGTGGCAGTTGTGGGTTCGTCTTTTTTGTATTGTTTGTATTGTGTTGTTGGGAGTCTGTTGGGTTGTGGTTGCACTGGCTGAAGAGGGGGGGCACCATCACGGGCTGGTCTGGTGGATGCCAGCCTCGTTCGTACGTCCACCATGGCTTCCACTGCATGTTATGGTCCCTCTGCCAAGA